GTTAGAAACAGCCAGTCTTGAGTTTCCTTTCTCCCCTCCATTTTGGCAGTTTAGGTTTTATTTTTCTTATTTCTAAAGTGCCCCCCATATCAATGCTTTCTTATTTTTAACTATAATCCACAAGAAGATTTAATAATTTATACTTAGATCGGGTGTTTTTGTGTTAAGTGTCCACAAGTAAAACTGCAAAGTTCTGTGAGACAGTATAGTTGAACCAGTCCTCTGCTCAGAGTCAACTAGTCTTGGCTTAAAAATGCTGGGGTAAAAACTGTAGGCCACTCCGAAGGGTAACCCTGAATCTGCTGTGTGTGAGCAGTGCTGCTCTTGTTTGAATCTCCCATCTGCTCCGGCATGTGCTTGAAAACTGTTGCTGTCATGCCTCATTAGTGATAGGCTTCTTTCTTTCTTTCTTGTCACGCTTCTTTTTCAGAAGTACTTGCTATGCATTACATATTAGCAGTGTAGAGCTGATTGAAAATACGCTAGAGAGTGTGCAGATCATGTACCACTTCCTGTAAGGGGCGCCAGTGAGGGAACTGTTTCCTCGGTGTCCTGGCTGTGCTCTGGCCTTAGTCCTCACTAGGTGCTGCATTAATGCTAGCAGGGCCTGCCATGATCTGCATTCATTCACAGCATTGTTTAAGATTCTTAAATTTCAGCTTGGCTCTAGATGAGGAGAGAAAGGAGTATGTAGGTAAGTCATTTTAGATGAGAGAAATTGCTTGTAAATAGAAAACAGATACAGTGATTATGTTATTTTTATTTACTTTCTATTTGAGACATGATCTCACTAAGTTGCCTAAGCCAGTCTTGAACCTGTAACCTCTACCCTAGCTTCTCAAGTAGCAGGTGTCACAGACGTTTGTGTTGGGTTTAGCATAATTGATTTTAATTAAAGAAAACAATTGGGATTGGTATATATGAGGGAGGGTGGGCATAGACACCAAGGAAAGAAAGAAGACAACTATTAGGAACTATTTTAGATAATTGCATTTGGGAGTGGAATTAATACTTTATAAGACAGTAATACAGTATTGCTTATTAAAGACATGGGATCAAATTCAGAAGCAGTTGCAACAATGGCCCTGGCTTGCCTAGCTAGGCCTGCTCGTATGGGTTTGGAAAGTAAACTGCTGTACAGACCGGAAAAAAACCTGGCTACTGAAAGCTCTTCCCGACTTGTGACGTTGACCCTCTCGGTGACCTGGGCAGGGTTCTGGTTTTTGTGTTTCTTTTTTTGGTGTAAGAATCTGACACAGGGCTTTCCTTGTACATGTGAAGTAGGTGTCCTGCTACTGCGAGATGTCCCAGGCCCTTGTCACTGACAGTACTAGCAGCTGAAAGACTTGTCTGGGCTCAGATTTTAGAGTTTTAGTCCATGGTGGCAGCAAAGGTCTGTAGCTGTTCATAGCATACTGTCATCTCACAGTAGAGCAAGGGATGATGGGATTAGTACAACCACCAGTCTGGCTTAATTAGGGAACTCCAAGCCAGTGAGAGTCCCAGGCCTTTCTTTTATTAAAGAGCCAATGGTTCCTGAGCAAGACAGCTCAGGTTGACCTTTGCTGCCACCATGCGCATATGCGCTCTCTCTCTCTCTCTCTCTCTCTCTCTCTCTCTCTCTCTCTCTCTCTCTCTCTCTCCCCCCCACTCTCTCCCTCTCTCCCTCTCTCCCTCTCAAGCATACACAAATTAGTATTGTAGTAACTTAGGGTTAGGATGTAAATGCTGGGACCGATTCTTAAACCTTAGCATGCTCATCTGTGGGCATGGAATCATGTCTCTCCCCTCCCACACACAGCCTCTTAGTACTTCTGTCCACATGATGGGAGGTAGAGCGTATGGTTACCAGGAGAGTATTTCCATGGAAGTGGATTCACATCTAATGAAGCTAGTGGTCTAGACAGTAAGGGACCACTTTAACTTGTAAGCAAGTCAGTAAGATACTGTTAACTGTCCGTTTCAGGAAATAAATTTTACACATCCAATTTTGCAACATTCCTGAAGTGTTTTTCTTCCAATTACGTTAAATACAAATTCTCAACTCTTAAGCCTTGGGTGAGGGAGAGTCAAGGTCATCTAAAAAAGAAACTCAGATGCCCTGAGGCCTTTATGATGCTTAATAGGTAAGACCATCTGAAGAGTTCTGAAGCGTGGCGTACACACTTTAATATTAGTGAGCACTGAGGGGCTGTGGAGCTCTGATTTCAAGGGTAGCCAGGGATACACAGTGATATCCTGTCTCTAAATAGTTTTGGAAATGGCCCTGCTGCCTCTCTATGCCAACTTGTTTGTTAAGCTTTTGAGTGGCAAATAGTTAATTAATCCATTTCTGCTTGCATGCAGTCCCACTGTGGAAACTGCAGCCTGGGGTCTGGGAGGTGGCTCAGTGGGCCAGTGTTGCTCATAGGCAGGTAGAGAGCCTGGGTCTGTCCACAGTGGGAAGAGAAAATTGACTACCCAAAGTTGCTGTGAGTACTCTGACATGCTCATACCTGTATTCGTGTCACACTAATAAAACCTTCATGTCTTACACCCTCATGATTCCCTAAATAAAAGGACAGGGTGTAGTGTGTGACAGTGCAGATGCCCTTCCGTGTGACTCCACTCTGCTCTGCTCTGCTTTTTTATGTCCCTAACTTCCAGTCTACTCTAGGCTTCCTTTTAGCACAAATTCCTCAGCTTTCTTCATGGAAGTTATTTGTGTGTTAAAGAGCCATTTACATGTCTGCTGACTGAGTGCACAGCCCACATTCTGTTTCATTGCAGAATGAATGCAACGTTCAGGGAGGAGAATATGCCTGCTTGGCATCTTTGGTTTCTTTCTTGAATTACCCTGTCATGGTCACTACTCTCCAATAAATGTAATTGGTAAACAGCATTGCATACGCTATTAGGAAGTGTCAGCTTTAAAATAGATGAGATATGATAGTCACACTAATTTCTTGGGCACTATCTGAAGCATGGAACCTTTTCTACAAGTCGTATGAAAGCAGATCTTAGAGACCATGAGGTCAGCTTGCTAAACATGGAGGTAACTCCCTTCTTCCTTCTGAGCCTCCTGTTACTCTGCTCCAACATTGCTTATTGCTATATGGCAGTGTGGGCTTGAATTCTTTTCTTTTTTAAAGATTTATTTATTGATGTATGTATGTATACAGTATTCTATCAGACCAGAAGAGCAGCGGATCCCATTACAGATGGTTGTGAGCCACCATGTGGTTGCTGGGAATTGAACTCAGGACCTCTGGGAGAACAGTCAGTGCTTTTAACCTCTGAGCCATTGCTCCAGCCCCCTGGGCTTGAATTCTTAAAATGACTGATGGTTTGTTTGCTTTTGTTTGGAAGCAATAACAGTCTTGTATGTTCATTGGACTTCAAACATTTTTATTTATTTATTTTTGTGTTCAAGTGCTCTGTCTGCACATATGCATGTCAGAAGAGGGCATCAGATCCCATTATACATGGCTGTGAGCCACCATGTGGGTGCTGGGAATTGAACTCAGGATCCCTAGAACATCCAGTGCTCTTAACGGCCTTCTCTCCAGCCCCCTGGACTTTATTTCAAAGAGAAAGAGCAATCTACTCTTGATCCGTGAACTTTCTGCAACCCCTTGCTCTGTTTTAAGGTACAGAGTTGGAAAGACTAGTAAAAGTGTGCTGTGTGTTTATGATTCGTTTTAGAATTTTTAAGTTGAAATAGATTTACATTTATCTTAGTTCACTGATGTGCATAGCTTCATCCATTTCTAGTTCTTTCCACTTTTGCACTTAATGTTATTCTGAAGGAGAACCCTTTTTGAGAGAGAGAGAGAGAGAGGGAAAGGGGAGGATTATTTATTTGCATGTGAATGTAGGTGCCCACAGAGGTTAGAAGAGGGATTGGATCCCCTAGGGTTAGAGTCATCACTGGTGAGCAACCCACCCTTGGTGCTGGGAACCAGACTCTGACCCCTCAAAGAATAGTGCTCCTCTTACTGCTCTGGAACTTTGTATATTAGGAAATAATAAAGAATTGCTGTCCTTTTTTTTTTTTTTTTTTTTTTTTTTCTTAAAAAAATCTCATCAGGAAATGAATTTTTATGTGATACTTTATGTGGTTTCTCCCACTCTCTTAAATATTTACAGAAATGTTTCAGCTTTTTCTTCGTAGAGCATGTGTCTCCTATATTGGTTGCATCCAGTCTTGTCGTCTATGTGTAGGTGCACACTGTCCCTAGTTTTAAAGAGCTATGTATGACATTGTGAATTTTTAGGACATGCTGCCAAGTAGGGCTGCTTACCCTAGGAAGAGACTGATTGTCTTAGACGGGTGATGTATTGTCTAGTCAGTATGGTATGCGCAGCAATACACACTTGAAACATTAGTGTTAGCTGTAAGCAAATGGAGATGGCTGATGGGAGGTTGGTTATTAATATCTTAGTTGGATATAATTTTTGGAGAAAATATTGTGTGTTTTGCCATTAAGAGATTACCTGATCGCTTGGCTATGAGTGGTGGCCTGGGTTTTATTTAAATGAAGAAATTGTGAATTCTCACTGTATCGTCATAGATATTTGTATCTTTAAAGTGGCATTATGAAACTATTCCTTGACTTTTTACATGTTTATCTAAATGACCTTAAGGTCTCAGTAAGATTTGGAACTAAAATTACGCTAAACATTGATAAACTCACACCATCACCACACCTGATCCAGCAGGAGGTGTGTTGTTTCCTTTCACGGTCTTTTTGTTTTGTTTTTAAAGATTGGTTTTGTTGGTTTTCTAACTGTTTAAATGTTTTTGCCTCTGTATTCATACTTTTTCTTTTTTATGTGATTCTCTCCATTGGTTTTCTAAGTGATGATGCAGGTATATAGAAAAGTTAGTGATGCCGGATACGTAGCCAGATTTGCACATTTTAGTTACAAAGGTTTGATGTTCTCTTGGCCAGTGGGTATAAATATCTTTGTAAAATAAGGGGAACTGACCTTAATTTGTCTATTTCTTGTTTTTCAAGCTTTTTTCACTTATGGATATGAAACCTCCCATCTCTAGAGCCAAGATGATTCTGATTACTAAAGCTGCTATTAAAGCTATTAAGGTAAGGATGAAATATTTAATTTGGAAATATGTTTTAATTGTTACTGGCAGGGTGAGGGTGTGACATGTGGAGGTTGGAAGGCTGTTGAGTGAAGTCACCTCTGTTCTTCCATCTTGGTGTGGGTTCCGGGGACCCAGCTCGGTTTGACCCACTCAGATGCCTGGTTAGCTCTGCTTTGCATATTTAAAATATTGTTAACATCAGAATTTATCTTGTGAATTAAATTTTGCTGAAAGTTTATGATAATACTATTTCAGTCTTTATAAACCAGCTGTGAGATAATGTCTTCTTATGGGAAAAAAAAGTAAAAAGTTAGACTGTGGGAAATATGTTACACTAGGTCACATTTTAGTAAATGGCACAATTTGGAAATGCCATTACTTAGTTTTGGTTCTGTTCTTTCCCCTGTTTCGATAGCCTGACCCTTGCTTCATGAAGGTTGGTTGACTAAGAAAGCACATTCACCTTGGAAAGGAGTGTGTAGTTTCTGTTTTGCTTAATTCCTTTCCCAAGATTCTTTGTTGTTGAGTTTTGAGCTATTTCCAAAGGCCCTTTGAGTTAGTTGCTAAATTTTTAAATTAAAAATTTCAAGGTTTTGGGTGCTTTCACTAATTGTAGGAAATGTAAAAATGAACTGTAATTTTTTTCTCTTTTTCAGCTTTATAAGCATGTTGTTCAGATAGTAGAAAAATTCATCAAAAAGGTAACTATTTCATTATTACTATATTTAGTTATATGTATTTACATGTGTGAACTGAAATTTGGATGTGTGCTTCTGAACGCTGTAGAAAAAGGTTACTGGAGTTGGAGCCCTGGCTCAACAAGAGCCCTGAAAAACCCTTGCAGGAGAGAGACATGGACCCTCTCCGTAACACCTACATGGATGCTAACATTCTATGTTACCAGTCTCAGGGAACCCTGTGCATATGCATATAGTACACACGTATCAGATATACAGACTAAACACCGATACACATAAAATGAGTATTTTTTTTTTTTTAAAAAAGAAAAAGGTATTTTTTCATATTGCTGCCAATCATTGAAGCTTGGCACTCACCTTGTGTCATATGTGACAACAGAGTCTGTTGTCCTCCCCAAGCCTACGCCCTGCCTGTTCTAGACCCTGTGCCCCATCCACTCTGTTGACATTTAATTCTCCTGTTCCTTTTTAATTTTCCTGACTTTTCCCTGTTGCCATCACAGACTGTTTTTTTAGTTGTGTGGTTTTGTGTTTCCTTAAAGTGTGTGTGATTAGCACCAATAGCACTAAGAATGGTCTACATATCGTAACCCATTGATCTGCCTTGGCCGTGAAGTACATGGTAGGTGTTTATATCCGTTAGAAGCTTCTTGTAGCAACAGACCACAAAGGCAAAGATGTAAGCGGGAAGAGCATTTGATTGCACCGTGCTTCTGCCTCCGGTTACTAGTGTGTACAGCTGAATCTCCATGTGTACATTTGTAAGGAAAGTGGACACAGTGTGGTTGTTGACTTGCTTTTCCAATTGAATATATTATAAAATCTACACAATGACCCTTTGTATGATTTCTGTTATGATTTACTTAGCCAGTATAGTTCTCATTGAAAATGCCTCAGTAACTAGCCTTAAAGGAAAATGTACATTCATGTTGTTTTCCTTAGCATAAACTCCTAAGATTCAAGAAGGCTTTGTTTTTGTTGTTGAATTGTCTGCCATGAAGGGCTATACCTTTTCCTATAGAAGTGCCCATTTCTCTAAGTGTTTTGTTTTGCCTTTGTCCGGTTTATAGATAGACCCAAATGACCATTTACTTTTTATTTCTATGGTAAAACTAGCATGTTTAAAAGTATGTTTTTGTAATTTTAAAATGTGGAAATTATTGACTCAGAGACTCATAATGACTGGATTTTAGGGAAGTGGGTTGGTGATGGCCTCTGGGAAGTTTTGGAGAGGAAATGGAGGGTCTGGGGGAAATTTCCTCCTTGTAGTCTGAGATATCAAAGAACGTAACTGTCCACAGACTTGAAGCCAGTTAGGTGGTTGGAACACTTGAGTAGTTTCTGCACAGTGGATGATGGATGTGTAGCGCTGCATACTTGTGAGATAATGGGTGTCAGTTTTGCTTTGGATTTCCCTTTGGGTTGGGTGTGGGTGGGCACAGGGCCTGGGGTTTACTGTGTAGCCTAGCATGGCCTGGCACTCACTAAGAAGAGTAGACTGGGTCTCACAGAGATCCCACTTGTCTCTGCCTCTGGGATGCTGGGATTAAGGGTGTATACCACTACCCTAACTGGTTTTACTGTTCTTATATTAACTTTGTATCTTTACCCTTGCAGTGTAAACCAGAATACAAAGTTCCAGGATTATATGTTATCGATTCCATTGTGAGACAGTCTCGACATCAGTTTGGTACTGATAAAGATGTTTTTGGGCCAAGATTTTCTAAAAATATAACTGCTACATTCCAATATTTATATCTCTGTCCATCTGAAGATAAGGTACAGTTAAAAACTTCTAAAATTTGCATTCTTGTTGGATTTTTTTGGAGGGGGGTTTTCAAGACAGGGTTTCTCTGTGTAGCTTTGGAGGTTGTCCTGGAACTCACTCTGTTAATTAACCAAGCTGGCCTCCAACTCACAGAGATCCACCTGCCTCCGCCTCCCGAGTGCTGGGATTAAAGGCATGCACCACTAATGTCTAGCTCGTTGGGTTTGTTTTTTAAGTGTTTAGATTCATGTTGTTTAAAGCCTTCTATGTTATTGGATAATATCTTCATGTAGTGAATTCCTTAATCTTAAGTTTATTTGCTGTGGTCACTTCCTGGTCTGGCTTCTTTGTGAGATGTCAAATTCACATTCTGCACGAGGACTTTAGTAATGTTGAAATGCAGAAGGAACCATTCTGAGCAGAGCGTGATTGCTGGGGAGTGGAGTGTGAGGAGATGCTTAGTGGCAGGTCTGAAGTTTCGGTTAGGCAAGGTTAAGTTCTGAGATCTACCAAACATGGTCCTTAAAATGAACAGCTCTGTGTTACACACTGAACATTTCTAGAGAAGGTATGGTTTGTGTTAAATGTTCTTGCCCCAGTTAAAAGAAACCAAAAAGATTTGTACAGGAAGCATTATCTTTAAATAAGAAAATTTTCTAGCTGGGCATAGTGGCACATACCTTTGATCTCAGCACTCCTGGAAGATTGCTGGGAGCAGCAAGCCTGAGCTACAAAGAAAGATGTCCTTGATGATGAGCAGCTCTGTAGTAGTTTGTTGCTCAGAACTGGTCTTCCTTTTTTTTTTTTTTCCCCTTGTCTGTCTTTTTTTAAAATTTATTTTATATAACCAAGTCCATTTAAATGAAAACAAACATTTATAGACAATATTTGGGAATTTGGGCGTTGTTCTTTCCAATCTACTTCCTGCTGGTAAGGGGCACTGTCATGGGGGATTCGAAGAAGATTCAGAAATCCTGGCTGTAGTCTGTAAGGCTGCTTTGTCCAGCTGTTTTGAATGTAGGATCACCTGGTCCTCTGTCAGAACTGTTCTTCCTAACATGCAGGTAATGTGAGTGATACTCATCTGCAATAAAATTGCAACGCGCGCGTGCACACGCAAGACCATAACAGTCACACATGTGCTCTTTAAATAGGTGGGAATAATTACACACACAGCAGTATTATTGAAAACACATAATCAGCTGCTGTGGTTTCCCTAAATACCTAAAGAAACTATGACACAGAAAAAAAACTTGGATTTATTTGCAGTTTGGTCAAACCAGAAAGAAAAAGGATGCTTACTTTGTTTCTCACATTCCTGTGCTAGACTTGAGATTCAGAGAAAACCTTAGGGTGTATGTAGGTTTAGTTGTGAAACAATTAACCAGCCCTTTCCTGAGGTGTGAAGGGTTAAGTTGTCCCCTTTACAGTTTAGGTGGTTTCTCTGTTTGCTATAACTGTGGTCCATTCTCTCAGTTTGGAGTCATGGATACTCCACTCTCAGTAATGAGAACGGAGACATTCCATAGAGAGGAGCCCTCGGTGTTGTAGTGTCTGTGTGTACACCCTTAGGCTCTTGGAATAAAAAGATCCTTTGAATGGGAGTTAAAACCTGTACCCAGGAACAACAGATTTCATCTGTATCTCCTTCATACTTAACTTGGCCACAAAACATTTTTTTCCTGTTAGCCAATTTCTTAAAAACTGGTTTGTTTGTTTTCATTTGTTTTTTTTTTTTGTGCCAGGGTATTGATCCTCAAATTTGCAGTCTTCCCTTTTTGAGAGCTGGCATCACAAGCTTGTGCTACCGACCACGTGCACAAAGTCTCTGAAATAATTAATGTCTTGATCATCCTGAAAACATTCTTCCCTTGATTAACTTTTCTAAGATAATTGTTTTTCTTTGTAACTCTTAGCAAAGAGCAATGATAGTCAAATAACATCTTTATTTTTAACTGCTAGGTATATAGTCTGTCCTTTTCATTTGGTTAGACCACTGAGTAGAGGTTAATTTGAGCTGTTTTACTGGTAATGATTCTGAAGGATTTTTTCCTCTCCAGTGAAACTTAATGGTTTCTCTTTAAAATCGGATACGATGAGCAATTTCTGTAAATATTTATTGTATCTTCATTTTCTTGCACATAACAGAGTAAAATAGTTCGTGTGCTAAATCTTTGGCAAAAAAATGGAGTATTCAAAATTGAAATTATTCAACCTCTTTTGGACATGGCAGCAGGAAGCAGTAATGCTCTTCCCATAGCAGAAAACGTCACCAACAATGAAGGTACTGTGTGGGGTCGTAAGGAAAGTTCCTGAGAGCACACTGGCATCGGTGGCACTCTCTCTTGCTTGCTTGTTCAGTTCTATTCTGGTTGATTTGTTTTTGTTTTCTAATGAGAGACAGAATCGATGTGGATCAGAGGGGGTGGTGGGGAGGGACTCAGAGTTGGGAGGAAAATCATAATCAGACTATACTATTTGAAAAAACATGATTTTTAGAAAGAATTGAGTTTCTTTATATGAAAGGTTTTGTTTCTGAGTTGGTAGAACTTTCCCATAGGAAGGAAACTTGGGTTTCCATGTGGAAGGTACAGTTTTTCTTCATGTAATTCTTACTTCAAATGGGGATGTGTCCTTTGTCACTTACTATATACCTTACTAACCGCAAGTTAAGCTGGGCAGAATTGTGTCTTAGCAACAAAACTTAAGGGAGTTTTAAATGGGTGAGGAGGGTGTGTGTGTTGACTCTTTTTGAGGCCGGATGCCCTTTGCTTTTTAGGGTCACCTCCTCCCCCAGTAAAAGCCTCTTCTGAACTTGTACAAGCACCCAGCAACTCCATGCCTACTGTCCCACAGTTGCCCAGCTCTGACGCCTTCGCTGCTGTGGCTCAGCTCTTTCAGACCACTCAAGGCCAGCAGGTAAGCTGCTTAATGTTCAAGTGGCTTGCAGAGCTAGCGTTGATGCCGTTGTTTCCCGTTCCAACTTCAAATGTTCCTTGGTGGGAGAAAATGTCTTCAACCAGAGTAGCCTTCCCTAGGGAGCTAATGTGAGGGTTAGAGCTAATAAGGGAAATGTGAGTGTGAAAAGTAAGGAAGTGATAACGTCTCCCGGAAAGAACTGAGAGATGTTGAAGTGGCAGGTGTCGTTGCTCACAATTGTAGTATTTCTGATTGACTCAAGATTATATGGACTGAAATTTTCTGTATTTCTAGAAAACTTGCTGTTACAATTCCATGTGTTTTCTGTTCTTTGAGCCTTGTTTGTATCTTTGGGATTGTCAGCATACATTTTTAACCATGAGCAATACACTGTATATATGTTCATTCACAAGTTTAGCCTTTAGTGAGCGGTGGATTCTTTGCCCACTTTGCTTACTGCTATGCTATTTCCAGCCACTCTGAGAGTTTTTCTTTTTAGTAAGTTAACTTTGATGATGATGCTTTGTTGTGTGGTTTATCAGTTTTCCCATTCTTTAAGCTTCAGCAGATCCTTCAGACTTTTCAACAGCCTCCAAAACCACAGTCTCCCGCCCTTGACAATGCTGTGATGGCCCAGGTTCAGGCTATCACAGCTCAGTTAAAGACAGCTCCTACACAACCACCTGAACAAAAAGCCGCTTTCCCCCCACCTGAACAAAAAACTGCATTTGACAAGGTACGCTCTCACACCACCCCACTGTGTTACCCATGTGCACTGTAGGCTCTCTTCTGCAGCTTCTCTGGATTGTTCGTTTTGTCTGTGGTTTGAGTTTTCCTCAATATCAAAATGGTTTTTCCTGGTTATACATGTCGTGCAGGCTCACTGTCAACAAGTTTACAGAATAAAGAAAAGTGAACAGAAGGCGGTCTTAACTAGTACCACTTGTACCTAGCAACGATGCTGTCGGGTTGTTGTATGTTTTTCCAGAAGCAATGCACTATAGGTCTATGCTTTTGTTCTGATCTGTATTGTTAGGTCTGTGTACATTGAGCGTGGATGGTTATTAAGATCCCAGTAGAGGGGGACCTCAGAGGTTATCTATTTTGCTACTGATAGACATTTGCTGTTGCTGTGATGATAACTGTCGTTACCATGTCTGTGACATGAGTCCTGGGGTGACCCCAGCATCTCTCTGCTTACTCAGTGGGCCGTGCCATCCTTAGGAACTCTTTTTCTGTGTGGCTGTGACCAAATACCCAAGAGAACAAATTGAAATAGGGAAGATTAATTTTGGTTCCTGGTGTCAGAGAGTTGCATGGATGGTTGGCAGCAGGGCCATGTGGAGACGACCCTCTTCAGCTTAAAGTGGAAGAAAGCAAGAAGAGGGGAGAAGGGCCCTGGACCAAGTGAGCCTTTCAGAAGCGTGCCCTTGGTGGCTTTCAGCACTCGCCACCTCCCAAAGCTTCACCATTCCCCAAAAAGGCCACCAGCTGGGAACTTAACAGGCATGTCTAAGATACTGCCACCAGGGGTGTGGATGTGCTGTGGGTTATGATTGTTTAAAATTTCTTTTTCCAGTTTCAAAGTTTAAAAAAAAAAAAAAAGATAGTTTGAAAATTGCAACATTAAGTAATGTTTGATTTTATAATGTCTAAAATAAGTTATAAAAAATTTATCACCAATAACCAATGTTGTAGGTAAATGCCAGTTTTCATTATTTTACCTGAGTGATTAATAAGTGACTACTGATTTTAAGAAATACTAGATTAATTTTCGAGCAGACAAGGAATGAACAGGGCCAGGGAGGCGATGTAGTCAGTGCAATGCTTGCTGTACAAGCGTGAGGACCGAGGTTACATGCTTGGAACCACGGGAAAGCTGCATGGAGCTTGCCAGTCACCTGTCCCAGCTGAGTCTTCGAGACACAGGCAGAGCAGACCGAGGACAGGAGATGAGACACCTGGCATGAGCATGCCACACGCTCACAGGCGCTCACACATGCACGCACATGTGTGTTTTCATATACAAGTGAACATAAGTTCTCTCTGTGTACCTCTGCTCCCCCCCCAATCCCCCCCCCCCCCAAGAAAGAAGCTCTCTATCCTTCTGTTAGTTCTGTACTTCTGTGTCCTGAGTTCAAAAGTCTCTCTAGTTCTTGAGTGGGGTCTGTTGACATTATCATTCAAGGTTTTTGTCAAGTGCTTATGTGTTTGCTTGTTTGCTTTTTACTCTACAGTCTTGTTTTCATGCCTGTTTTTGTTGTTTTGTTCTTTGTTTGTTTGACACTACCTTGTCAGACCAATGTTTATATCTTCATCTTAATAGTTGAAGAGACATGTATCTAGTGCTGGGAATTGAATTTGGGGTCCATGCACGCACCTAACCACCCAGCACACACACATACTTTACTTCCAGTGTCCCTCTCTTAATTGTTTTCCAGGCTTACTTGGGCTACTCCTGCTTTTATGTATAGGTTTCCTCAGATAAACCATAAGTGGTATCTATTGTGATTGGATGGAAAGATTTTTCTGAGGTTTATGTTATTTTGTGTATATAAATGTTTTGCCTGTATGTATATATGTGAGCCGTGTGCGTGACTTGCCAGTAGAGGACAGAGAAGGAAGGCATCAGATCCCCTGGAACTGGAGTTACAGATGATGATGAGCCGCTGTCTAGGTGCTGGGAACCGAACTGGCTCTTCTGGAAGAGCAGCTGTGTGAGTTTCTATAAAGAGTAAACAAATTTGAAGTGTTTTCAGGCAGATGAGCAGGCGTAAATTCATGTAAAATTTAACAGTGTGGCTCTGCCTGGAGAGCATGGCAGGGGCAGCAGACCAGTACAAGTGAAGGTGGTCCTCAGGGCGACTCCTTGGGACACCCCAGTTCCTGTTGGGAAGATCGTGTTCCCTAGGCAGAGTAGCCTTGCTGTACTCTGGGTCTGTTGATGAAGTGATAATGTGATCTAAAACATTTTCCCATCACAGTAACATCTAAATTACATTGGACCTTACAACTGGTCTCCATAGTAGATATGCAAGGTAACATATATTACCTATCAAAACATGCTTGTTGGGTAGCTTTGGGATGTACTGCTACAGAATCTCTATAGTGAACTAAAATGTTTTGATGGTCTTTATAAAGGCCTTACATAATTTTTTGTTTTACTGATTCTTGGATTTCTAGTCTTTTAAAATGTTTCTTAGCACTTACTTTGGTTAATAATGCCACAGAGAAAAGGCTGGTGTTTATCTCTGTAACTAGTTGCAGTATCAAGTGCCTGGTTTCGGTTTCCCAGGTATTCCCTTGGGGTTTCTAGGTGGTACTGGACTTGACAGTCTTCGGCATCTGTTCCTGTTACTTTTCTTCTAACACAACTAGTAGGAAGTCCTGGGTAAATACCATGGTGGAGGGAATCTTATCTTGCTGATTTACCTTAATTAGTTGTTAGTTCCATCAGGTTTGCAAAAAGGAATTCTCTGCTGGGGAGTGGTGTGTGTGTGTGTGTGTGTGCGCGCGCGCGCGCGCGCATGCATTCGTTTGTTCGTTCTGTGCTCTTTCATTTGACTGTTTTCAAGCTGGGAATACTTTTTTTTATTCAGATCTTCCATTTCCTCTAAACCATTGAAAATTTGTTTTTTTCGATAAGCTAGAGATTCTGTGATTGATTTAAGTCTTTTTCCAGATCAGTATGTATATTATAACTTAAATAATGTATGTTGGTACTATAAAATAAGTTAACATACAAACAGCTGCAAAGTACCTGAAGTATAGATTATATTCATTCAGAAAACACTAGCTGTTCTTTTATAAAGAACTTTGCTATGTCAGATCTCTTCACATGTGGTTTATGTGTCATGACTTAGCAATCTGCTCATAAAGTACACCAGAGTTCCTAAGCAGGACAGCACAGGAGAAGCAGGTTAGGAGCCTGAGGTGGAAACTGAGTATGGCAGGCAGAAAAAAATGCACGATGTAAGTGGAGCTCAGGCGTTTGAAATACAAAAAACAAGTGTCCACTGTGATTCTACACTCACCGACTGTAGGAGGTTTATAGTTCTTCACTTCTATACCCTGGCTTCGTTGTCTGTATACAAAAAAAAAAAAAAAAACTCTATATCATTGCAGGTTTTATGATTACAGAATATAACTGTTCAATATATTGCATTCTCTCTTTTTATTAAGATTAATCTTTTTTTGTGAGTTACAATGTGTGTGTCTGTGTCTCCCCACCCCAGGTCCAAAGATGACTCTGAAAGGTGTCAGACTTGTAGTAACAGGCAGTAATCATCACCCTAGCCCTTTAAGTTTTACTTTAAAACTTATTTTAAATTGAAAATTACTGTTTAACTTTTTATCTTAAAATATTATTAAATTTACTTTGTATCTTAAAATGACTGTTCTAGATTTTGACTTTGTGGATTATTTGAGCTTGTTTGTTGTTTTTAATGAAAGTTTCTGGTAATATAAGCTGGTAGTATAAGCTGTGAAGTTTTGAGAAGGAAACTACTCGAGTAAAAGGCTCTTTCATTATGTTAGGGTATTGGCCAGGCCGCCTGTGGACATGTGTGTCTGGCTGCCTGTAAGCACACATCTGTTTGTGTCATGCAGCACTCCAGAAGCCTTATTATGAAATAACCAGACAATATTCAGAAAGAAAGCACTGCTTTTATTATTGGAGAAGGACTGTAGAATTTAAAGTTGTATCTTGTCTGTCTTTGGACCACACTCTCCAGGACATACATGAGAAAAAGACATAGCATGGGAGGGTCGTGACTGATGTAAACATGTGTTATTCTGTTAAGTTCCCGGCGGGCTGACTCAGTCTGTTTTAAGTGAATGTTGCCATGCACATTGCAGAAGCTGCTCGATAGGTTCGATTATGATGATGAACCAGAAGCCATGGAAGACACAAAGAAAGAGGATGCTGCTGTCACTGCTGCAGCCCCTGCTGCTGCTGCTGCTGCTGCTGCTGCTGCTGCTGCGCCTCCCACAGCCTCCGTGGCCACCCCGGCTATCGCTCCTGCCGTGGCAGTACCCTCTGCCGCCTCACCCCCTCCCCCACAGGTGCCATTGTGAGTTTCTTTTTCATTCTTTGATATTGGTAACAGTCACGAAGCATAATCTAAGCAGAGTATTTTGTCAAATTATATTAAGAGAGTTTGAACCCTTTGCAGAGTCAGAAATTTAAAATGTGGCTTTTATGTTGGACTACTATTTGTTGATTACCTGTGACTCTTCAATAGTATTATGCAATGTAAATGTGACTAAGTCTTGAGTGGTTTTGAATGAGTAATGAAAGTGCTCACCTTGTTTTAGTGGTTATCCTGGGGACGGCATGCAGCAACCAGCCTATACACAGCATCAAAATATGGATCAGTTTCCACCTCGGATGATGGGGATGCAGCAGGACACAGTGCACCATCAGGTACAGGTATTTTTGTCTTGAGTTTTATGAACTCTATCTGCTGGCCCTGTTTGTATCTCTGAGCACCATTGTTGCTGTGTAATCCTCTAGGGAGAACCGCAGCCCCCGAGAGAGCTGTGTAATATATCTTTATTATAACAAGCTTATAAACACAACTTGTTCACCTAATGATTATTTTAGTTAAAGTCGTTCAGTGACGTGCAGTTCTATTTAAAAGAACTCCTGTAGCCACACAGCTGTTTCCTTTGCTGGAAGTCTTCCTGTGTGCTGTGATGACTGACCACTGGAGAGGGCTTTCAGGCCTGCCGTTGGTGGTGTAGCACACGAGAGAGTTAGAGAGATTAGGGATTGGACATTGAATTGATTTTGCTAAATACTTTGCTATGACTCTAAATTAGGGGCAGGGTGGGGCCTTTAAAGACAAAGAGCCTATGTGCGCCCCACTGTGATCATTCTCTATATAACTCATGGACTTGTGTTTGATTTTTAATACTAAGTGATTTTCATGCACAGCCAGCCTTGGGAAACATTGCTTTATAGCCTGTGGAAAGGGTGCCCAGATAATATCCTTAACACTATGTATTTTCTTGTCTATATTATTTCCGGGTCATTTTTTGCATTTGATGACATATAGCTGGTACTGTGACTTTAATGGCTTATTGAGGAGGCCTGTTTAAATAATGGAGAAAACATGAACATATTGTCAGATATTTATTAGACAAATTACTACCAATTTTGGTCAGTCAGTCGGTCAGTTGGTTGGCTTTTCAAGACAGGGCTTTTTTGTGTAACATCCCTGGCTGTCCTGGAACTTACTCTGTAGACCATTTTGTCCTTGAACTCACTGAGATCTGCCTCCCTAGTGCTGGGATTAAAGGCATGCGCCACCACGGCCCCACTCTGCTGACAGTTTTTGAATGCTTAGTAGGAAGATATTTGGGGACATGATTAGTTGCATTGGTGTTGGAATTAGTGCCTGCAGAAATGGCAGATTGTGCTTTTCCCTGTGTGTGTGTGCACGCGCGCGCACACGCGCGCGTTCTGTAACTTTTTTCATTTATTTTACATACCTACAATAGTCTCCTCTCCTCTTGCCCCCCCCCATGTGTCCCCTTCTCCATCTATCCCTTCTTTATCCACCCCTCCTCTTGTTATACATTGTGAATTTTACTTGAAATTTTAAAAGTATGTCAAACATCCTTTGGTAGATTTTTTTTTTTTTTTTTAAATTGCACACATATTTAGGTATGGTGTTAACACACAGTCCCAGCATTTGAGGTGTGAGTCAGGAGGATTGTATGTTTCAGGCCAACTGGGTTATACTGTAAGACCACTTCAATTTTTGCTTCCTGTTTTGAGCTTGTTTCAGAGATAAGGTGTTGCTTTGTGTAGTTCTGTCTGTCCTAGAATTGCATTTGTAGACAGGCAGATATCTGTGAGTTTGTGTCTAGCCTGGTCTACAGAGTGAGTTCCAGGACAGCCAAGGCTATACAGAGAAACCCTGTGAAACCCTGTCTCCAAAAACAAAAAATGTTCAATTACTGTTAAAAAGTTGAAGGAAGATGATTTGCAATCAAGTACCTCTTTAGCTAAGACTAGCCTGTCATCTTGCTACCTTGGGTAAATAAAGCTGTATCTTGAATCACCATTGAGAATTCTGAATGAGTTGTAGAATGGGTTACAGAAAAGTTATACATACAGAAATCAGATGGCTTTTTTTTTTTTTTTTACTTAAAATTTATTAGTTTTGTATAAAATAACTTTTCAAACTTATTTTTGGTTGCTGTTACTTAAAATAGATTTAACTCTTCTTTAAAACGAAAGGTTCCACTTCCTCCTAATGGACAGATGCCAGGATTTGGACTTCTCTCAGCATCTCCATTTCCTCCTGTGCCACAGCCTGGGATGCCACAGCCTGGGATGCCGCAACCCGGGATGCCGCAGCCCGGGATGCCGCAGCCCGGGATGCCGCAGCCCGGGATGCCGCAGTCTGGGATGCCGCAGCCCGGGATTCCTCCAACCCCACCAGTACAACCAACTTTCCAACCTACTTTTCAGCCACAAAATGAGCCGCTTTCACAAAAGCCACATCAGCAGGTAATAGTTTCTTGGATTGATTTATGTGCAAATTCCTTCTTACTTGTTTGCTGTTTTAATTTTTCAATGTGTTGGTCTTTGGCCACTCTTGGCTCCAAGAGTTGTGTGGAAGGTCCACACAATACTATCAGCTGTGAGGATTGAAGCTAGTGTTTATAGGTTTGACTACAGCCTAGTTTACTGTGTTTGATGGTGCTTGGTAAAACGGTAATTTATACAGAGTAACTTCCAGAAGTAGAATCTTCCTCCTTAGTTTGCATACCATATGAGAGTTATGGTTTTCTTTCAGTGGTGGCTAGTCATTTAGTCCAATCAGAAAAATTAGTATTTCTCAGATTTTGGCCTCTTGCTCTATGGTTTCCAGATGTCTCGTTTTCTGATTTTTAATTTTTATTTATTTATTGTTTTTAAGGAAATGGAAGTAGAACAACCTTGTGTCCCGGAGGTTAAGCGGCATGCACCTGAGAGCAGAAAGTCAAGATCTAGGTCAGCATCCAGGTAACTTACAGGAGCCACAGCTCTGTCTGAGGAGACCAGGGAGCCAGCCACACTGTTTTCTTTGCTTTTGTGTTGAGATAGGATCTCACTGTGTAGACCAGGCTGGCCTTGAACTCAGCAGTCCACCTGGCCCACCTTCTGGGTAACACTCGGTACATAAGGAAAAGGTATCAAAAATAATGGCTGTGTTTTTATTTTGTTGTTTAGTTCCATCTGGGGTTGTTGTTAGTTGGTAGAGTGAGTCTTACTAGTATGCCTAAAGTCCTGCGCTCAGACTGGTCGTGTATGCCTTTAATTCCAGCATTTGGCCATCAGAAGTTTGGGGCCAGTGAGATATTGTCTAAAATTGAGTTCCCCCACCCCAAATAAATTTTTTTTCAAATCCAAAGCATCTTACCTACATATCATCTGAGTCAATTTAGTACCCGTGAGTCTGTGGTTTTATAGGAGTTTATGTTCAGTGTTACCAACAAAAGTGCAAATGTCATAGTTGTGTCACAATTCAAATGTGTTTTTAATTGCTGAGAGAAGACATTCTTAGAAGAAGAAGGTGATAATAGCAGCAATGTTTCCAGCCCTGAGGACCGGCTTCCTAAGCGTGAAGATGGACTTGTGGGTAGTGTTAGAGATGCTAAACAGAGTACAGTTACAGGTGGTGCAGCCATAATTGTTTTGTGTAAATTATGTCCGTGAGTTCCCTGTTTCTTTGTTCTTACAGATCCAAACATTTCACTTTTTCTTTTTTCAAGTTAATATGTCCATCTTTCCCTTCTTTCTTTGTGCTATCCTTCTTCTTAATGAAATGTATTAGGTCACCAAAAAGGAGAAGGTCTAGATCTGGCTCCAGGTCTCGGAGATCCCGCCACCGACGGTCTCGGTCCCGGTCGAGGGACAGGCGCCGGCACTCACCTCGATCTCGGTCTCAAGAAAGAAGGGATCGAGAAAAAGAGAGGGAACGGCGACAGAAAGGCCTCCCTCAGATCAAGGCAGAGACTGCAAGTGGTAAATAATGAACCTTTCTTCACACTTATTTGTGATTTTTTTTTTTTTTTTTTTTTTTTTTTTCCTCTTTCTCATTTGTGGGTTTAAGATGTTTTATGACTGGCAGCAAAGCCATAGGAACCCTTATTGTCATGGGTGAGTTTTATTCTGAATAGTATTTCCTTACGTCTACTTGTGTACTGCACAGGGTTAGTGCTCCTGTATACCAGGAGGTGTCTTCCTACTAGCAAGCTGTGTCCTCCTTTGGTGTCTCCTCTTGGTTTTATCATTTTTAGAACATGTATGTAGAAGTGTTCCAGTTTAATTCATAACAGTGGCCAGTAGGCCACACTTGGAGGCACTATAAAGGGAAACCCAAGTTCGGCAGGGACGACTGCACTTGTTAATGACAGGGTCGGTCAGGTCCTTGTTTTGTCCTTGGCTGCCAGATAGTAAAGGCAGGTCAGTGCTGCAGGACATTTTCAGGTCTAGTCACCAAGAGACCATTGTTTCCCAATCCTTATGTACTGGCTTGATCTCTACCTAATTTTGTAAACTCTTTGTATGATTTATAAATGGCATTTCCTGTTTAAGTTTTGTGATGTTACATAGTCACGGCGTGCAGTCGTGTGCCGTGCTGCTTGGGATGGAATGAGTGTTTTGATCACTGGTTCACTTTCAGTTTGTAGTACCACATTGTGGGTGGGGCAGCTGGACAAAAGGACTACTCAACAAGACGTTGCCAGTCTCCTAGAAGAGTTTGGTCCAATTGAGTCAATTAATGTGAGTACTTACTGCCCTGAGGGAGCTGAGCAAGATGCTCCCAGCCGTGCTTTGAGCCTGAGGCCTTGCCCTCTGAGGTAGAATGTGCATGGGTTTGTGGAAGGCAGTTGCAGCCTGGGCTGTTCTGATCACCTTAACGTTCTCAGCGGCTGATGTTTCTTGGACAGCCATGTTTAAGTTAAAATATTTTTCTAGAAAAGTCTGTAACAAAATTTGTACAATGTAGTCAAAACCCAACTTGAATGAGTTTAACCCTCCATGTGTTGTTGGTGATGCTGGGGTCGGCTCTGTGCATGCTTGCAAATGTTCAGCTCTTTGCCGCGGTCTAGACAATGCTGACGAGTGGGGGTAAGGCCGGGGGTGACATCTGTATCATCATGTTCTTTGTTTTTGTCATTGCCTTTTACAATACTGCAATATTTTGGACAGATGATTCCTCCCAGAGGTTGTGCCTACATCGTTATGGTTCATAGGCAAGATGCATACCGTGCCCTGCAGAAACTGAGCCGGGGAAACTATAAAGTGAACCAGAAATCCATAAAGGTACATTTTATCAAACTATAATTTTGATGCTTTGGAATGGCTTGAGACATGAAGGCCTCCTGAAAAACAGTCACACGTTAGTTGACATACAGTTTTACTGACAACTTACTGAGTTTCTGTTTTGTTAAGAAAGTTTTTTTATGCAGTGCGTTCTCATCAAACATTTTCTTCTCCCCCAAGATCCTACCCCTACCCCTAGTCCCATATCCCTTCTCTTTTCAAAAAACAAACAACCCCCCCAAAAATAAAACAACAACAATCCAAACAGGGGAAAGCACAGGAAACATCACACATGCCACAAATGCAGAAATCAAACCACACAAACAAGAGCAACAAGACAGGGTGCCCCCAACAAAGCAGCTGAAGACCAAATCTGTCTCATTGCCCCCCCCCCCCCAAGAAAACCCAGTTAGTTCAGTGTTGGCTGTCCACTGGTGGGCATGGGCCTGCCCTGAAGTTATATTCCCCAGGGAGAATCACTGGGAAAGGGTTTTTCCTTTGTGAGATGTCAGTTGCAGGTGGCTTCTGGGTTGGAGGTGGGGGCACATGTCCGCTTCCCTCTCTTAGTTCTGACACCTTATTTGGCTTGAACCGGTGCAGACCCTGTACATGCTGCCGTGTCCTGATTTTATGTGTGCATCAGCACTGTTCCCTGGAGTTATCCATCCCTTCTGGCTCTTACATAGTTCCCTGAACCCTGAGTGGGGTGGGGGAATGATGAAGATTCCCATTTAGGACTGTGCATCTCTGTGTTATCTCCCATCAATTGCAAGATGGTGGTGGCTAAGGAAGGCACTGATCTATGGATATAGCAGAATGTCATTATGAGTCATTTTATTGCTAGGCTAACAATTCTTAATGATAAAATTTTTCTTTTTTTAAGATTTAGTTTATCATATAATAGTGTTCTGTCTGCATGTTTGCTTGCATGTCAGAACAGGGCGTCAGATCTTGTTATAGATGGTTGTGAGTCATGTGTTTGCTGGGAATTGAACTCAGGACCCCTGGAAGAACAGTTAGTGCTCTTAATCTCTGAGCCATATCTCTCCGACAATTTTTTTTTTTTTTTAAATTAAATAAAGCGCTAGGAATTTAACCAGGGTCTTAGTGTAGGCTAGGTAAGCTCTGTCATTTAGCTATGCCTCCTTACTTACTTACATGTGTACTTATTTAGAAACAGGTCTCTTATAACCCAGGCTGGCCTTGAGCCCCTGGTCTTCCTCCATCCACCTCCTCTAAGTACTGGGATTACAGCATGCAGTAAATAGCTTTATCTATTTATTTATCTAGCTTTAACTGGAGCTTTAAAGAAGATGTTTTCTACTAAAATACTTTCTTACAGATATTCCACAACTTAAGTTTTTCCATCTCTTCTTAGAATTAACTGTTAAAAATATCAACAGAGATAACAATACGAGCACACAGACAACAATCCTCTGAGGGGTCCCAGTCATTGTCACCCTGTGTTGGCTCCTCTTCTACCCTGATGTATACTATAAATGATGTTGCCATATCTGTAGACTTTGTAAAGTCATACCCAGTGTATCAGGGTTCTCCTTGATGAACTTGTTGTTGAGTCTGTTGTATGCTGGCTGTGCTGGGTCAAGGAAAGTCTTAAGTATTATGTATTTAGGGACAACAATCCAGGCTGCCTTGTCCTGATGTGATGAGTAGAGTGTTGGAGAATGATGAACTCTGAAGACTGATGACCACTTTTCTTTTCCTTTCTTTGTGTATTTTCACTGGTTGTAGATTGCCTGGGCCTTAAACAAAGGAATAAAGGCAGATTATAAGCAGTATTGGGATGTCGAACTGGGTGTTACTTATGTCCCGTGGGACAAAGTCAAACCTGAGGAGCTGGAGAGTTTTTGTGAAGGAGGAATGTTGGACAGTGACACACTTAACCCAGGTAAGACAGTGTTTAACACCTTTCGTAGCCTATGGCCATGTGACAAGTCAGTGTCACGAAGTGCATTCTTTGTGCCAGGATGAATGTGGGGTGATATTGAAGTTCCTGATATAAGCCAGGCTCTCTTGTAAATTGAGGACTTGGTGACCTTTATCTGTATAACACGGTTAGTTAGCGGGAGAAGTACAGACACTGGTCAGACATTGGTTATGAGACTCATTATTAATTAGAGTTTTGTAGTGAAAAGAGATTACTTAGTCCCCAGCTGTTCATCATTGGTACAGGCTGAACACCAGAAACCTCTCGGGGTTCGGGAGATGGCTGTACCAGGGTTTGCAGCCCTACTTTGACTCCAGATCTTTGTGGTGATACTGTCCAAAGAAGGCACGTGTGTTAGACCAGGAAGTTGTTTGTAGAGACGAATATAAGTGCCAAGGTCGTAGTAAGATTGTGATGGGAATAAAGGATGTGTGCATTGAAGTAATTGTTAAAATAGTGTAGAAATTTAATGAAGCTAATATTTTCTAGTCCTCCATTTTCATTTCTATATTTAAATTTGTAAGTGAAAATAGTAAGCATTTCTTGTTCTATTTCTATAATTCATAGATTGGAAGGGAATTCCCAAGAAGCCTGAAAATGAAGTTGCCCAAAATGGAGGCGCAGAAGCCCCCCACACGGAGCCTGTGTCACCTGTCCCTAAGCCTCTGCCCGTGCCTGTGCCTCCTATCCCAGGCCCTGCGCCTATAACAGTGCCACCCCCACAGGTAGGAAGAGCGGGGACACGGCTTAGCCTTTGCGGGCCTGAAAGACGGCGTCCCAAGTCTCACTGCTCTGTCTGAAAAGTGAATGAGTGGCCATACTAGTTTTTCATATTTTGCTATGTCGCATCTGCTTTTGAACGCCAATGTTTTCCACAAATGTTAATAAAACGGATAGTATTAGACTATTGACAAGTTGTGGGAGTTACTGTATTTTGAACTCAGATACACCTACCCAATCTCAGGTGTTTTGTGGAAAGGGAATCTTTTTTCTCTTTTTGGTTTGGTTTGGTTTTTCGAGATGATGTTGTGCCATGTAGCCCAGGCTGACCTCAAAATTGCATCGTTGTACCTCCGTCCCCAAGTGCTAGGACCACGTGAGCCACTGTGTCTGGCTTTCTTACTGACAGTTCGGTTAGGTGTCATTGAATGCGTATTAACTCTTTTAACCTCATACACTTATTCTAAGTTGGCATGTTCCCAGTTTAAAAAAACTTTAATGGCCAGAAAGGCAGTGCAGACATTTGACTCTAGGATTGTTGATCTTAGCCTACTACATAAATTGCCAGCTATTCTTTCTTAGACCTGTATTCCCCAGTTTTTTTAAAAATTCAGCCTTGGGATATTCTCAAATGTCTCACATGCTGTGAGAACACCAATGGATGCCAGTGAAATACAGTGTTGAGTGGCCATCTTAAAGGAGAAAGCAAAGCTTAGATTTATAGCGTTTAGGTATGTACAGGTTACCTACCATCTTCTTAATGTAATAAATACAGTATAATAATAAAATAAGAAGCGCCTGTGTGTATTTTCTTGGTGTATATACACTGTATTGAGAGCGGCTAGATATGTGTTTGTTCTTTCTTTCCAGGTCCCACCTCATCAGCCGGGTCCTCCTGTAGTTGGTGCCCTGCAGCCGCCTGCTTTCACACCTCCCTTAGGAATCCCCCCTCCAGGCTTTGGCCCTGGTGTTCCTCCTCCTCCTCCTCCACCACCATTTTTGCGCCCAGGATTCAACCCGATGCATTTACCACCAGGTACACTGACTCGATTGAGAGGACTGTTTTAGGCTCAAAGAAGAAACGGTGTGGCCGGAGTTAGTTGACCTGATTTTTCTTATTGCAGGCTTTCTTCCTCCTGGACCCCCACCTCCTATAACCCCACCAGTATCCATCCCTCCTCCTCACACTCCACCAATAAGCATCCCAAACTGTAAGCATGCCTTTCCTCTGGGCTGGCTTCATGTCTGGGAGTGGGGTAGCAGGGAATGAGAGCGCACAGTAGGGTCTGAGGGCTGGTAAAGATTGTTGACCGGGAACGTAACTAATTACTCAGCTTCACATGTCGATGTAATTATATTCCTTAGCTACTATCGCTGGTATAAGTGAAGACACTACAAAAGACTTATCTATTGGAAATCCCATTCCAACAGTGGTGTCTGGGGCTAGAGGAGACGCCGAGTCTGGTGACAGCGCGAAAATGTATGGTTCTGCTGTGCCACCTGCCGCACCCACGAATCTGCCCACCCCTCCTGTAACCCAGCCTGTCTCACTTCTTGGTAAGTTCACTGTTTTTATATTGTTAGTCCCCTCCCCCTTCAAGTTTGGCTTTTTAAAAATAATGTGTCATTGAGGTCGATCTGAAGTGGCTGTGCAGTTTGCTCTTTGCCAGGAGACATCTTCATGGTGGCACCATGGCCTAGTTGTCTTCACGAAAACATTCCCATCTGCACATGTTAATTTGATACAAAAATTTGAGTAAAGTAATTTCTGTGAAAGGAATTGTTACATGTTCTTAACATGATTCCAGACTTTGAGCTCTAGCAGCTGGTTCCTCATAGATGTTTCTCTGTCCTTACCCATCTTTGAAAGCTTTTTTAAAAATACATAGACTGGCAGATATATCATCTGTGATAATCCTAACAGGGTGGCGCTGTTTTCTTGTGAGCTTTGTACAGTTGAGGTCTAGTTGAGATCACTCTTACTGGCTCCTGGGTTTTTTTCTGCTCAAGTTGCTCCTTTCTACAACCTCATGGCTGCAGTCAAGGGAGGTCAGCCTGGAGGCTTCAGTCACCCTTATGAGGGTGTACTCTAGTTTGCTGTGGTTGCATTGAGTACATCACATAGTTTTTATGGTAGACCGTCTTTTAAGTTTAAAAAAAAAAATCCTTTTTGAAGTCATGTCACCAAGTATAATTAACATTTGATTCTCCTAATGGGAAGTTACTACTTCTGAGTATGAGTCCATTTTGTTTTCAGAGGTCATGTGTGTGCGTGTGTGTACATTTGCTTTCAGACTCTTACATTGCTTTAGGAAAGAATCTGTTGCTGACCTGAGATGTAGGATTGTGGGACATTGGTTTCAGGTATAGAACTTTACACCAAAATCTTAGTATTGATGTTTTTTTTTTTTTTTTACTTAGTGCAGGTACCCCATAAAACTGCCAGTTTCTTTTTACGGTGAAGTTAGGACTGTTTGTTAGAGGAGGGTTTGGGGAGATGGTTTGTTTAATGAAGCGTTGCTTCAAAGGTTCCACTGTTTGGGGTTGGCACGGGAGCACCAGACTGGGAAATGAGGCACATCATCAGCATTGCCACACCTCACCAGGTCACAGCTTCTTTTGTATTTCTAATATAGTTGCACAAGAACCTTAGAACCTCAGTCAGATGCAGTTTTCTAATCGGCTCTTTGCTCTCTGCATCCTCTCCACCTGTACACATCTTTGGCTTGGAACAAAATCTTGTCTAATGTCCATGGTTGTTATGCTACCTAAAACTCTTAGAGAATTGTGTACATTTGTCATTTTCTTTGGTCTTTATAACTTCACTGAGTGAGTAGGAAGGTTTCATGATCTCCCAGAGTTTGGTAACCATTGCTTGTAAGTAGTCCTGTTTGGAGTGAGTACCTGCCTCTGTTTACCCCAATCCTGAAGGCCATGCCCTTTATTTCTTACCACCACCAGAGAGTTTAACCTTTGCCACCAACATGGAACAAATCAAAGTTGATAAATTTATGCTGTGGTGCCTAGCACTGCTGAGGATCAGTGAGTCTTCCTGCGTAGTTCTCGATCCCTCACAAACCTTTCTTTCTGTCCTTCCCCTCGCATTGTGGAAGGTCGGGAGAGATCAGGGTTTCCATAAGTGAGGTGGGATAGGTAAATGAGCAGCTTTAATGTGGGGCTCTTCGCTTCTGATTGTCTTTGTCTATAACTTTTAAAGCAAAATTTGAAAATGGAAGGTTTAGAATTTGATATAATAAAGGAAACTGTTTTATTAAAATAAATACTTTAACGTGGAATAGTCTAGTTTCAGTTAACAGAAGGAAAATCTTGTGTGTGACTTCAGTCAGACATCTGGAAACGTGCTGGGCCTTGTGGTACTGTATTCCAAGAACTCGGGAGGCTGAGGTCCAAGGATCTTGAGTTGGGAGCCAGCTTGTGCTGCGTAGTGAGCTCCTGTCTGTAAGAAAGAGCTCTTGAAAAAAGGTGGTCACGTAAATCTTGACCTTTCAGAGAAATGAGTTTTGGTTTTCTTATTGTTACAAAGGTTTAATATGAAAATGTTTTTGACATCGTTTTTACATAAATAAGTCAAGCCCTTGGAAGAGGTGACAGGGTTTCTCCCCTGACCTGCCCGCCATTGCTCATTCCACTATGTGTGTGGCATAGTGTACTTTCCTCTCACATTCCCACCATTCCAGCATTCCTCTCTTGCCTTTAGTTGCCATCTTACACTGTCATCTGTCACAAGAATCAAAAAAGGAATCTGATCCCTGCAGTATTCCTTGGATATATGTGTCACCAGTGAATTTCAATAAGTGCTCACCCATACACACCTCTGTCCACTTAAGAGGGGTGAGCTTTTTTTTTTTTTTTTAAAGTGAGGTATTTTTCTTTGTTGTTGCTGTTGTTTTGTCTTTGTGTGTGTGTGCAAATAAAGGAGAATTTATTCAAAAGAATCACAGTTCCACCACTTTGAGGAACGCAAGAATCACATTATGTATCACGGTGGATCGGAAGCTGGGTGCCGGTGTTGTTAGTCCTCCTGTGGGAACACGGAGACTAGGTGCTCCCTCTCTTCTTGTGCTCTAATGTTTTCTGTGAGTCTGTAGAAGGAGATGCTGTGCTGACCCGAGCACCTTAACCCTAGAGGCTAATGCCGAAGCCCCATTTCCTCGTCTGTAAGGGAGCACTGATGGCATCGACAACCAGGGTGTGGTGGCGATTCAGTGGCTAACATACAAACTGCCACCTGGGAGGCGTTTAGTGAACAGTGGGTGCTATTACAGGTAAGAAACACCGTAGCTGTGCTCAGGACACCCAGAGAAGTGCTGTGCTCCAGTCTGTGCTGACACTTCTGGGCTCTGATTTATTATAAGCTCTTGTTTGCTCTCAAGTAGAAAGCAAGTGTTTTGGAACAACCATCTTTGTATAATTGCTTGTGCATTTAAGGAAGATAAGACCAGATCACAAGCAATTGCGTTCCATTATTTGACTTACTCAGAAAATGTTAAGTCATAGTAGCAATTTACTTACTAACACAACCCAGTATTGAAGGTCCGAATAGTTTTCTTGCAATGCATCATTGACGCATTTCCAGCGTGTGCCAGTAGTTTTGAAGCAGCACAAGCCTGCCAAATGTTAAGCAGATCAAAATTTCACATTGAGAACTAACTGTAAGGAATGGCAGTGGAGTGCCTTGGGGCTGTTGAAATTTTGTCTTGAGACTTAAGTTTGGGCCTTAGTTTGGAGATAACTGCCTCTTTCTAGAGCTGAGCTAAGTCCCCCTTTGTCCCCCAAACAAAACAAAACTAAAACCTGAATTTGAAAGAACACAAGCCTTTATCATGTTTTTAAATTATTCATTATTACTAGATTTTAAAGAGCCAAAGTAGCTGAAACTAATAGTGGTTTTATCAAAGCTAAAGATGACATCTACAGTTGTCAGTCATCTAGGAGAGAAGATGGTAGCAATGCAGTTCATCCTTTTGATTGTATGAGCATTTATGTTTGCCTTTCAGATCCGTTGTATGCTATGTATTGCTAATATTATGTATAGCATATTATTAAAAAGTTAATTGTAAATGTAAAGTTTGGGTTACTTTGGTGTTCCAAACAATAAAAAAGTACACAAAAACGATGTTTGTTTGTGTTACCTATCTGTCCTATGTTACAAGGATATCCAGAGTATGTTTCAGACACAAACTGCCAGGTGGAGTGAATCCCTCCTCTGGGAAGTGAAGCGGCTTCCTGACACGTGCACTTCTTGTTAATTATAAAATGGAGAGACTGTCACCTTCTCACCTTCCCTGCGTTTGTTACCCCGCTGCAGATGGTGAAGTCTATAAATACAATTTTACTTGTGACGATAACCTTACAAGTGAAAGGTTACTTTTCTTTGCTGTAAAGTGACAGGCGGTTTTAAAGCAAGAGTCACACATTGATGGCCTATTAGTGGAGTTGCTGGCCCATGGGTTGGTATACTTCAGTCTCTACGTAGCTACAGCAGGCCTTTGAGTTGGTCTCGGACTAGGGGACCTCAGGACAAACTGAAGATAAAATTGCGTTATAAATTTTATTGAAGTACCTTTGATTTTATATTGTCGTTAAGTTAGCAGCGCTAAAATAGTCATACCTGCATTTTGGTAATTGTTTCAACGTGGGTATTTGATTTCTGATGGTTTAGCTTTGGATTTCTCAGCTCAGTCTCTTCTCTTGAACTTTATAAATTTCATAGCTAGTAATGTAAACAGCACTTAGACTATTGGGAACACCAATCCGTTAGTTACATACTAGTAATATAGTAAATACAAAAGTAGAGAGAGAAATTATAGGTTTGTTTTTTTTTTTTTTTTTAAGAACAATGCCTAGTTTTTTTTTTTTTTTTTTTAAAAATGCATTTTAATACTTCTGTACTGAACTTTAGTATGGTTACATTAAATTACAAGCTAGAAGGATATTCCAGAAAGCTTCTTGACATTGTCTTATAAGAGTGTTCTTTAGAAAGTTTTAAAAGACCAAAATTGGTACTCTAAACATTGCAATATATTGTTCCGCTAGTCACTAGTGTCACATAGAAATGGCTTTGAAATATTCCTTACAGTGTCTTCAGCTTAATATATAAAATGTTGTTTGGTGGGTGGAGTGGATAATGCAAAAGCGATGGTTAATCTCAACAGAAATATGCTTAGGATATGAATTTATGCATGAATACAATGTTATCTGAAGGTGAAGCACTTCAAACAAAACAGGAGGATATTATGTGGCACCTAAGTGTTTACACAGCGTCTTTATGTCCCCTGAGGCTAGAAGTTCTTGGTGTTCACTAGGCTGAAGAGAGCCTTTCCGCTTGTTTCTGAGTAGAGTAGGACGATAGAAACTTGGGAATCCAGAGGTTTGGGGAGACACAGATAACGCTGTGAAGAATTTCAGGTAAGACTCCTAGCTAACACTTAAAAAAAAAAAAAAAAAAAAGTGTCTACAGAAAATTACTTTGACTAATAGGATTTAACTGTGAGTGTCAAGTTTATTAGCCAGTAGAACTAAGTCATGGTTGTGTC